TAGTGCTTCGTCAGCGGATGGGGCGCGACGGAGGCCAGGAGTGAGTGCCCGACGGCTCCGTTGGCCTTGAAATGCCGGGTCATGGATTCATGGAATGGGATGGAAGGGAGGGTAAAGCTCATCCAGGTCTATTGGAGGTTGCTCCGACTGGGGATGGAGCCTCCCAGCCTTCTCCATCCAGCCCATCCCACTGTCCCACCGCTTCCTTCTCTCCAACCTGAGCATCCCTGGTTCACTTGGAACCCATCACCCCTTGGCCCATCGCTGAAGGTCCTCCCCTGTCCTCCTTACGCTGAGGATGCAGAGCAAAGGGGATGCAGCCCAGGCCATAGGGGGTGTTGATGGCTCCCATTGAGCTTCTCAGCCCCCAGTACCCTCAAATCCATCCCTTGTCCCCCTAATCCTGACCCCCTTTGTGTCCCCACAGCGGGGGCATCGTCCCCATCAGCCCTGCAGGAGGCCAAGGTGCCCCTCATCAATGTCAAGCTCTGCAATAGCAGCCAATGGTACCGAGGGGCCATCAAGAGACACAACCTCTGCGCTGGGTACCCGCAGGGTGGCATCGACACCTGCCAGGTAGGGATGTGCCACTGGGGCTCCCTTCTCTTCTCCCATCTGCAGGGCCTTGCTCTGCATCCCCCTTTATCCCAGCTTCGGAAACACATCCGGCTCCTGGTCCGTCATCCCTGCGCAGGGACCATAGAGCTTGGAGCTTTCAGAGCATCGAGATTCCACCACTAAACCATGTCATGAGCATGGATTCATGGAATGCTTTAGGTTGGGAAGGAGCTTAAAGCATCCAGTTCTAAGCAAGGGGCAGGGACGCCTTCCATTAGACCAGCTAGCTCCAAGCCCCATCCATCCTTCTCCATCCTACCCATGCCAGTGTCCCACCACCCTCATAGGGAACAACTTCTTATCTCCAACCCAAACTCCCCTGTTCCAGTGGGAAGCCATCAGCCCTCGTCCTATGGCTCCAATCCATGCTGAAGGTCCCTCTCCGCGCCCAAATGATGAAGGAGAACCCTTCCGTCCCCATAGGCTGACAGTGGTGGTCCCCTCCGGCATTGCCATGGCGACCCATCCCCATCCTCATCCTCTCTCCTTCTCCTCCATAGGGTGACAGCGGCGGTCCCCTCATGTGCCGGGAGAAGCGCGCCAACTTCTACTGGGTTGTGGGGCTGACGAGCTGGGGCCGCGGCTGCGCCAGGGCCAAGAAACCGGGGGTCTACACCTCGACGCAGCACTTCCACGACTGGATCCTCTACCAGCTGAGGACGTTCCGCTCCGCGGCAGCCTCCGCGACGCCCCCGACATGGAGCCACCAGCACGTCTCCCATACCCCCGTCCAGGAGACGATGCCGGCGCCCACGGCCTCGAGCACCAGTGGCTTCTGCTACTTCCCAGTCCGGGTGCTGTTGGAATTCATCACTCGGGTGCAGGAGTTGCTGCAGGCTCTAAGGGGGGAGAAGTCTTGAGGAACGGCATCGCTTGCACGTGGCTCGAGCTTCAGTAAAGTTGCCTTATTTTCCCACAGAGAGGATGCTTTGCATGCCCACCTCTTCTTCTGGTCCATGGGGAGGGATGGGGATGAGGGATGGAGGGCAGGGAACAGTGGGAAGCAGGAGCTGGGAAGCAGGAAATCAACCAGGTTGGGAAAGACCTTCAGGAGCATCAAGTCCAGTCATTGCCCCACCATTAAAACAGGGCATGAAGAGGGAGGGGGGACAGCTTCCATTAGAGCTGGTTGCTCTGAGCCCCATCCGTCCTTCTCCATCCAACCCATCCCAGAGTCCCAGCACCCTCACTTCCTTATCTCCAACCTGAACTTCCCTGTTCCAGTTGGAACCCATCACCCCTTGTCCTATGGCTGCAATCCATGCTGAAGGCTGCTCTCCACACCCAAATGATGAAGGAGAACCCAACCTTCCATGGTTCTGCTTCTTCCCTGCATCCAGCTGGAGCATCCCACTTCATCCCTGCATCCAGCTGGAGCATCCCACTTCATCCCTGCATCCAGCTGGAGCATCCCACTTCATCCCTGCATCCAACTGGAGCATCCCACTTTTTCAGGGCATCCCCCTCTCCTCCATCACTGCTCAGTGGACATCTGCCCAACAAGGCATTAAGCTCATCCCAGCACCCGGGGGGGTGCCCCTTGGGTCTCTTCCATTGGGTGTCGTGTGCGCTCCCCCCTACTCCTCCCCCACCCCCCTCGCCATAGTGAACATTCAAAGCTCAATGAAGGGGGGACACCCTCATCCATCACCCTGGTAGGGGGGGCATTAATGTCATAGGGGGGTCCATAAGGGGAGGAGGTTTAAGCTTCAAGCCCTGGGGTGATTTGGAGTGGGGACACACTTAGGTCCAGAGAGACCCCCCCCAAAATGGGTTGGGTGGTTCTGGACTGGGGGGGGGGGGGGGTGTGTCCCGGTTTTGAGGGGGGCCATGGTTGGAAGCAGGCATTGGGGAGGTGCTACAGGGGGGGGTGGGGGGGGTGTGATGGGGGGGCACCCATTTCCAGCAGGTTTTTCTGGGGGGAGTCCCAGTACCCGCTGGTGGGGGTCCTAAGGGAGAGCCCATTGGGGGGGGTCACAGCACCCACTGGTGTTGGGGTCACAACACCCACTGGTGGGTGTCCAATTGGGAGGTCCCATAGGCCGGGGTCCCAGCAGCCAGTGTGGGGGGGCACCGTGAAGAGATCCCAGAACCCATGGCGGGGGTTCTCAAGGGTTGGTCCCAGAACCCAGTATGAGGAATCCCATGGGGGGGTTTGCCAGCACCCATTAGGGAGGTCCAATGGGAGAGCCCATGCGGGGGGTCCCAGCACCCATTAGTGGGGGTCCCATAGGGGGATGCCAGCAGCGATGGGAGGGGTCCAATGAGGTAATGCTATGGGGGGGGGGTCCTAGCACCCATTGGCAGGGGTCTAATAGGGAGGTTCCCTGGGATTTTGTATGGATTTGTCTCTTGTAAAAGAGATGTTGGAGCGTGCCCGTTCGCAGCAGCTGCTAGAAAATGCTAAGGCAAAAGGCAGAAAGATTCCCATGGGATGGCACTGTTCTAAAGGAGGCATTGACAGCAGATGCCTGGAACAGAACAGGGCAGGTCAGGGTTAACCCCCGAGCGTGCACAGTGGAAGTGCGTTCTGTTTGGGCTGGTTTCAATGGCTGGATGGAGGATGGAGCTCCTGTGCAGCGCCAGGGCCGGGTTCTAAGGCTGTGAGCAGGGGAGAGCTCCTGTTAAAGTGCGTAATCCTGAAAGTCCTGCATGGGAAGGCGCCTGCCCTTCAAGAACCTGGGACGAGGCTGTGCTTGTGTTCCCACAGGTAAAGGACCTCGCTGGGTCCCTGCAGGATGGGCTCCTCCACTCTTGTCTTCTGCCTCTTCCTCACAACAGGACTGCCCCTGCCGTGGCTTCCGCCCAGCCACAAGAGAGCATCTGCAGCCAATGGACAGGACAAGACGCCCTGTGCCTGCCGGGTGCCAGAGCCAGGAGTGCTTTCAGGCTGCTGTGGGATGCCTGGGTGGGGGCTGGCATTCCCTCAGCTGCTCCAGCAATGGCAGCCTCGGTTCCTGGGCACACGGGGGATGCTGGGGGTACAACAACCAGGAGCTCTTTACAGCCACAAGAGATTCCTCTGTTAACACTGTAAAATGGATCTGGATCTGCATTTTCTTTCTAGAGCTCAAGCCCAGTTGTGAGTGCAGAAAGTGAACTGTTCTTTCCCTGTTCATCTGCTAGGGTAGGAGCACGAGGGAGAAACTTGTATTAAGAGGGTTGGTTTTGTTCGTTTTCATTGGCTTAGGCAGTTTCTGATTGATGGAGCCCCAGCACGAGCATGGATAAAGTGGGGTTTGGAGGCACAGGGCTGTAAGAGACATGGGGTCCACACGGATGCTACCACAAGAGGCAGCCAGGATGAAGCTGGGTGGCAGGGGGTCACTGTAGGGATGCTGCGGACAGGATGGGGACAGGTCGCACAGGCTGGCAGCAAGGTGGCATCTGATGGCTGGGAAAGGCTCCCTGAGAGCTGCAGCACAGGGACAGCAGCCAGGCCCTGCTGGACCACAGCCACCAGCACTGGGGCACCGACAGCATCCAGACTGGGGAGGTTATAGCAACAGCCAGGGGTGCAAGCTGTGGGCACCCAGAGCCACTGGTTGGGGTGGGGCCCAGTGGTGGCACTGGGGCAGCGCTGAGGGCCAACCTCTTGCTGCCCCATCCCCATTTAACCCAAGAAGTTCTCTGTCCCCATCCAGCCCTGTGTCCCCACAACCTGTCCTGCACCAGTGTCACCGGCAAAAGGCAGCAGTTTCACCCCCAGAACCACCTCAGCCTGGACACTTCCCTGCACCATAGGTGATGCTTGGCATCCCCAGGCTGCTGGAGCAGTGACCGCCCTGTGGCCCCACGCTGTGGGACAGCCCATGGGGCCAGCAGGCCCCTGCCCCTATCAACTGTCAGCAGTGCCTGGGGTGCAGAGCCCACACGGGGCAGGGGCTCCAGGGCCCTGCACGAGCCCCCACGCTGCTCCCTGCAGATGGATTTTCTCCCAGCTCCTCCGCAGCCGGGATCCAAGCATGGAAAACCGTCACTGCCGGCGGCTGCGGGAGGCAGCGCTGGGCTCCCCCCGCCCCGCCTCCTCCTCCACAGCCCCCCCTTAATGAGGCAGAGGAACCAGGAGCAGCCTGGAAGGTTGAACTGGAAGCTGGGAGCAAGCAAAGGGGACACGGAATGGGGGACACGGAATGGGGGAGAGAGCAGGGACTGGGGGGTGACTGTGGGAAGCAGAAAGGCTGAAGGGGATCGTGGTGGGGCTGCAAGGAGGGCGTAGAGGAAGGAAGAAATCTGGTAACCGGGTTAGGGACATGGGGAGGGATCCAGGAGCCATCAGCATAAGAGCTGCGTTGGCTGGGGGGTGCGAGCAGGAGGGACAGGGGTGAGTTCTTTGGGTCTCCTCTTGCTGCCCTTCCGGGTGCTGTTCCCCCAACGAGGCTCTGAGGAAGACAAGAGCAGAGAAGCAGATGGGGCAGCTCCTGGGCAACAGCAGCAAACCCAGAGCCCCTTCCCGAAGAGGATCTGTGAGTTACATCAGAGTGATTCGTGTCAGCAACTCAGGGGTCCTAGCGATCATTGCACTTTGTGTGGAGATGGAATCCCTTGTGATCACTGTGCTATGTGCAAAGGGTATGGTAAGTGTCCCTGTCAATACCACAGTGAGGAGGAAGAAGAACCAAGGGAATAATTCCCCTGGGTCAACCGCAATATTGTGCACAGAAATGTTTTGTTCATTGTTTAAAGTGCGTGAATGTGCTTAGAAAAAGGGGGGCTAGGTAACTTAGAGATATGTCCTGTTACAGAACGTTGTGAAACCTGTGCGCTGAACAAATGAACACATCAGGAGTGGAATTTATGGGGGCTAAGATGGCGGTCAGACTTGTGAGAGACATCATATTTCTTGACCCGGAGACAAGACCCCAACAAGAGGTGGAGAAGCCCGGGAAAAGAAGACAACAGGATTGGCTGAAACCCAAGAAGCCCGGGAAAAGAAGACAACAGGATTGGCTGAAACCCAAGAAGCCCGGGAAAAGAAGACAACAGGATTGGCTGAAACCCAAGAAGCCCGGGAAACCCCAAAGTGTAAGAGACTATCCCCAGCAGTTCCCGGTGTGCCGTCTCGCGCGGGGCGGGGCGGAGCGGAGCCTCCCCGGCGCACCCAGCGCTGCTTGCTTCTTGTCTCTCGATATTAATTACAGTAAAAATCAATTAAAACAGATTGGCGAGGTTCTTCTAACAGCACGATACGTGGAAAAACATTAAAACAGAAGCGGAAAATCGAGGTGCTGTGAACCTGCCCCACAGCCTGAATGCTCCACATCCCGTCCGGCACGAGGCGAACCGCGGGCTGGACGGCGGGGAGGAAAACGGCGCTCCCGCGGGAGCCCAGCGGAGGCTGCGGCGGCGGCTCCCCTCCGGCCGAGGGGCTGCGCCCGGTGGCGGCGGGACAAGGAGCTGCGGAGCACGGGCGCGCCGCCTCCACCTCCCCGCTGCCGCGAGCTCCCTCACTCGCCCGGCGGCGGCAGCAGCAGGCTCCGGCGGGCTCCCCCCATTGCCTGCCCGCGGGCAGAGGGCTCTGATACTCGCCCGCCCCTCGCCTTTGTGTGCTCCGGCAGGCGCCAAGATGCGCGCTGCGGGGCGGCGGGGGGTCCACTCCTCCCGGTGAGAGGCGGGAAGAAACCCAGCCTCTGCCCCGCAGGTTTTTCACCCCCAGCAATGGTCTGTTAACAGAGAACGATTCAGTCAAACACGCTACCCTTCAACACAGAGCTGCCATAGACTTTGTGCTATTAGCTCAAGGACGCGGTTGGCAAGGCTGTGACAGAACGTGTTACATGAACCTGTCTGATCGTTCTGAGTCTGCCCATGATGCAATTCAACGCCTGCTTTAGAACACTGCCATCCCATTGGAATCTTT